GATTCGCTTAACTGTGGCAAGAAAGGTTGTAAAAAGGGCCAAATTCACTCAATAACTGTCTCGCTGAGCAACAGAAATTTTGGCCTCAATTGTGGTCATAAGTCTAGGACTACCTGCATTTCCTGTCTTACTTTCAAGATGCTGCTGGGTCCATCTCTTTTATGACCTGTGCCAGAATCATCCAGGCCCCCCAGGAGGGGGGAGGCTTTCCTTTCCTCTGGTCATCCGGCCCCGCAGCAGTGGCCACGCCTTTATCTGGCTTGTTGGACAGGGCCACCAGAGGCCTGGCGGACTCGCAGTCTTGTTCTGAGAGTTGCCCCCTTGTGTGCTTGCGATGCTGAGGCTAAATCAAGTCCAAGATTTCCCTTCTGTCCGGCTGGTTCCGAGATGGGCTTCCCACCTGCTCAGTCCACCTCCAGGGTTCAGGAAGACACACCACCCCCTGCCCTGCGTTATGCTCAGCACACCCTCCGGATGCTCCATCCACAGATGTAAAGCAATTGTGTTGTGAAGCAACTTGGTCTTTAGACATTAGTCAGGTGCCACCAGCACCATTGCCAGGTGATAAAGTAGCATTTTCATAAAACACCATAGATTTACTGATTAAATCACCTGAATATGAAATAATCTCTGTGGAGTCTGCCAGATATATTGGCCATGTCACAGAACAAGCTAAACTCAGACCTGGGTTAGCCATACACCAATGCATGACGCCTGTTACAAGGAAGAAAGTCACAACAGGAATAATAAATGTTTCACCTAACATGCTAGGATGACCCACTAACAACTCAAATCCTTCACCAGTACACTTCACCTGAGCTGTAAAATACCTTCCCAATAGCAGTTGAGGCTCCCTCATGGACTGGGCTTCGCATGAGGGACGCATGGCTGCTCAGAAAGAAGGAAAGGCAGAAAGATGCTGCAGGCCCCACCTCCTTCCACCTCCTTTCTACTTCTCTCTCTCCCCCCTCCTAACTGCAGCCTAAAACTCAAAGAGAGAATCAGGACCACCTCACGTGTCTAGGGTCCCAGGAAGGCTGGACTTTGCCTTCTGCATCTCTCTCTCTGCTACCTTCTGCCCCCCACCCCTATAAGCCTTATTTTGGGGGGGGAGGGCTGCCTCCTGCTCCACAGAAATCAACTTGGCTTCTTTTGCCCAGAAACCTTGACATTCCTTATAAAGAGCAATCTTCACTCTAATTGCATTTGAATTAGGCAAAAATCACATAATTACAGAGTAATTACCTGTTGAAAGGCAGCTTCTGCCTTCTGTCCTATGGGATCAGGGAGCACAGAGCAGGTCTTTGCCAGGGGGGCTGCAGTCCATGCCTGGAGGTGCCCCCCTCCACCTCAGCCTCCCAGCTGGCCCTCTCTCTCTCTCTGGCTCAGAGCCCAACTCTGCCCTCTTGGGGAGCCATTCGCATTTCCCTCTTGTCTCCTGCTAAATCCGCTGGGCAGTGCCCAGAAGTGCAGGTACTGCCTCCTGCCCCAGGCTGAGAAAGCCCAAAAGGGCAGCAGGTAAGGGGAGTGGCAGGCATGGGGGGAGGGGCTTCAGTGATTAATTTGGTGCTTTGCTCCAAGTCCAACCAGAACCCTGTGGAATCCTCTTGCTGCACCACGCAAAGGTTAGGGCTCACCCTCCCACAAACCCTGGCCAGCCTCTAGGCACTCCCTGCACTCTACCCCCCCCCCCCCCAATGGAGCACTCCTCAGCAGGAGAAGTCGGGCTGTCTGGTCGGCCCACCCAGCTGCTTGTCAAGTGCTTTGCTCCTTGGAAACAAGGGGCTGGGGGCTTCTCCGGCAAAGGACATTTTTGCAAGTGGGACAGAGGAGGGAGCGTCCAGCCCGTCCCCCCTTCGCCCAATACTTCTTCCCTCCGGAGGGTGAATCGGTCAGGAAAACACAGGGGGAGCCGCGATGGGCTCTTCAGGACCGGACCGGGCTCCCCGGGCTCGTGTGCGATAAGGGGCCGGTCGGCGGGGGGGGGGGGAGAGCAGCGTGAAGAGCTGGGAAACCCGGTTCGATCCTGAAGAGCCCTTCGCGGCTCTCCCTCGGATGCGCCGAGGGAGCGGTCGCGCCGCTTCGGGCTGTAGAAGGAGAGCGCCCAGTCCGTCGGGGCCCGCGAACCCTGCCTGCGGGGGCACATCCAGGTTTCGACCTCAGCGGGCTGGCGGAGATCGCCCCCGGCCGGCTCGCACCTTTGGTGACCGCCTAAGGGGAGGCGAGGTCTCCGCTGGCCTGAAACCCCGGTAATGGGAGGGGGTGGCCGGAGCTGAAACCCCATTTTCGGGCCAGATGGTCATGGCGGAAAGCGATAGAGTCGGCGCTGAAAACTGGCGCTGCAGCTCGGACGGGCTGCTCCGGCACCACCACGTACTTAACCAAGCTGGCTAGCTCAGGCCTTTGGGCTCTCCTCCGACAATCAGCTGAATTTCAACCTTGCTGAGTTTCCTGGGGTTGCCAGAGAACCCCACAGGTTTGCTTAACTAGACTTTCTGTTGTGCAAGCCCCGAAAAGTTGCCTGCCCGCCTTTCTTTCTAGAAGGACCAGACCCCCCGGGGGGGGGGGAGCCATGTGGGGAGACACAGCAAAAGAGTGGGGTGACTGGCCTTCAGCCCCCAACCAGGCTGGGAGACTCTTGGATGCAGTCACCACTATCTCCTTCTTCCCCTTCCCCTTTATAGTTCCCGCTGTTTTAAGAAAGTTCAAAACCTTCTTAAAGATCCATCTCATCCTGGGCACCCTTTTTTTGAACTATTATCATCTGGCAGATGGTACTGGTTAATTAAAAACAAGGACAAATAGGCTGAAAAACAGCTTCTATCTCAGAGCAATTAACTATATTGAATTCTACTCTATAGTGCAATACTAATGCAGTATCAGGGGTTTTCAATTCAATTGTATAGAATGTGAACGATGTGTTTTCATTTTTTAAAATATAGTTTTCTTATGTATGATGTACACTGAAGGTGGCATTTAATTTTGCAGTACGAGGTGCAATGACAATAAAGTAAAGTAAACTGTCCCCATCTGAATGCACAGCCCTATTCCCCACCTGGGCTGCCCTTGCTCCTCCTCAATTTCTGGTGGGGCTGCCCTTTCCCAGGAGGATTGCTTTGTGGGTGGGCAGCAGCCAGTCGGGTTGATCCCAACAGGATAGGGTGAAACTTGGCAAGAAGCCTTTGCTGATGCTGCCACCCGTCCTCCAGTAGGTAAGAGTCTCAGGAAGCTGGGGAGGGGAGGCAAGGTTAGAGCCCTTGGCAGCTATGGGACAACAGGTTGCTTTCCTCTGCTGGAGGAACTGGAAAATACGTAGGGCCAGCTCTCAGAGTGGCTTCCCAGTGCAGATCCCATTGCTCTGAGAGCAAAAGGGAAGGAGATACCATCCCTTCCAGGAACACCTCTGAGCACCCAGGCTGGCATCTCCTAAAGTGGGTGAATCATAGCAATCCGTGGAACCCACAGAATAAAGGCTCCATGTTTGAGGAGTGCCAAGAGGACAAAGCTGGCTGTGTGGGGCCTCCTGTGGTCAAAATAAATGCTAGAATTAAAGTCTGTCCATTCTTGAATAAGCTTTTTAAAATCTGGTGAAAGCTGCAGCTACATATCACAAATCTGAGTGGGAGACAGGAAGTTGGAAAACTCTTAAGAGCTCAGAGGAATAGGATAAGACTACAGAATGACCGAGTCCTTCCTTTCTACTCCTGCCTGGGGCAGGGGGTTGGACTAGAAGACTTCCAAGGTCCCTTCCAGCCTTACGATTGTGTGAAACAGAGCAAGAAGCATAGTGAGCTGATCAGCAGCAGGCCAGAGGAGCAACTGACCCTTTGCCTCGTGGCTCCCTTCTCCTTCAGCGGCCACGGAGGTAGGGAGGGATCTGTTCCAGGGAGAGTGGGAAAAGCCTCCGGGCGAGAGAGGGGTGGGGGAAAGCATCACTCTGGGGCAGGTCTCCATCTCCCACAATTCTGCTCAATTACGGGTGTCTCCACCTGGAGCTTAGAGCTGAGCACCAATTATTGTGGTCCTTGGATTAACATCTTGGGCTTTTTCTCTTCTCCCCTGGGCAGAACAGTTTTTGTGATCCTTTTCAATTTCACACACTCCCTTTTTTTGCAAGGCCCCAGACCCAAAGCAGATTTATTTATTCATTTGGGAAACATACATTCACCAATCATAGTATGCCTGAGCACCGTTACCCTCTTCCCTTCCTGCCAAGGGTCAGTTTAGGGAACTTCATTGAGACAATAGGAAGAAGGAAGTGTGAACAGAGTCTCTGTTCTTCAGCACGGAAAGCTCGAACTTGCCCCTTCCGAGCCAAATTGTCCCTTGCTTTCTGGACACCTCCTTGCTCAGCTGAGCTCACAGCAGGGCAGCTGAGAATTAGCCTGGAAAGGGACCACTTGCCTTGAACAAGCCCCCCCTAGCCAAAACAGGCTGTGGCCTTACACACACTCGTAAGCGGTGCCCTTCTGTGGCAGTGGGCAGGGACAGGGGATCAACACTCGGCCTGTGAGGCGCCCCAGCTGTTGTCCCTGGTCACAGCTCAAAGACTGTGAATCCCACCTCTGACACCAGTTTCTGTGGAATCAAATGCAGGACCCAAAAAACCAACAAGCAAGGCTCACCACAGTATGTCTTTATTAACTGCGCACTGAAGGAATGCCCTCCAGAAAATAAGGAGGCTCCTGCAAGCAAAAGCATTGTCCTCCCATTTATACATTTCAGGAAAGGAGGAGAAAATCATAGTCATACATATGCATAGGTAATAGATGATGTAAGCATGAATATTCATAATCAGCAAACCTCAAGTTATTTTCCTGGCTTTCTACTGTTCATATTCTCAAGAAAGATTGTCTTAATAAGAAACAACGTATCAGTTTAGATAAAGCACCCTGAAAACCAAGGCCGTCCCAATTAGCGTACATTCCCTTCTATGTTTCCACTGGCTCCCACAGCTCCAAAACCTTGTTTTCCTTCCCTTTCTTCTTTCTGCAGGACCTCACCGACCATTGCAGGAGGCTCAGCAGCAGCAGCAACAACAGCAGCAGCAGCAATGGAAGCCCCACAGCCCAGTGGCTCAACAACCACCAACATCCGAAGCATCTCAGGAGTCTTTGTGGAGGCTTCTGGCAAGACCACGAGCCTGGCACAAGCTCTCCAGGACCACTTGATCCAATCAGATGTTGCCCTGGCCCTGCTGGAAGCCCAGGCAGCCACAGGTGGCATCGTTGACCCAGAGGGTGAGCGGCTCCTCCCTGTGGCGGAGGCCCTGGCAGTGGGATTGGCGGGGCTGGAAATGAAGGAGAAGCTGCTGTGCGCAGAGCGGGCAGTGACGGGTTTCCCTGACCCCTATACAGAGGAGAAGATCTCCCTCTACCAAGCCATCCAAAAAGAGCTGATTGGAAGAAAGCTGGGCCTGCATCTCCTGGAAGCCCAGATAGCCACTGGGGGGGTCATTGAGCCTGCTTCTGGCCATCGCATCCCTCTGCAAGAGGCCTATGCACGGGGCTACTTGGATGAGGAATTGAGTGGCTTTGTCTCTGATCCAGGGAACGAGGAGGCCAAGGGCTTCAGGGATCCTAATACCAACCAGATGGTCACCTACACAGAACTGATGAGAAGATGTGTTGCAGACCCAGCCAGAGGCTTGCTCTTGCTGCCTCTCAAGATCTCTTTCCTTGGACTGAGAGGGGCTGTGTGTAGCCGGGAGCTGCTGGATTCTGGAGTCATTGACTCCACCACGTTTGAAGCCCTCCAGAAGGGGGAGATGACTGCACAGGAAGTGGCAGAGATGGACTCGGTGCAACAGTCCACGTCAGAGATCGCCAGCATCGCTGGAGTAGCCGTCCTGCCAACGAATGAACGCAAGAGTCTTTACAAGGCATTAGTAGAGCACCTCCTCCCTCCTGGCATGGCTGAAATTCTTATGCAGGCTCAGGTGGCCTCGGGCTATTTAATTGACCCTGTAAAGAATGCAAAATTAACTGTGGCTGAGGCTGTCCAGGCAGGAGTTGTTGGGCCAGAGCTCTTTGGGAAATTGACCTCAGCTGAGAGAGCAGCCACAGGATACAAAGACCCCTACACAGGGGAGACCATCTCTTTGTTTCAAGCCATGCAGAAACACCTGGTGCCCAGGAACCCAGGCCTTTTCCTGCTAGATGCCCAGCTCGCCACTGGAGGCATCATTGACCCACATGCCCATCACCGGCTTCCTACAACGATGGCCCTGCAGAGGGGCCACTTAGATGAAGAGACATACCAGCTGCTCTGCAAACCTACGGACAAGACCCGTGGATTCTTTGAGCCCAACTCAAAGGAGAAGTTGTCCTATGGGGAGCTGCTCTTGCGGTGTGTCTCTGATCCGGATACCGGGCTCTGCCTCTTGCCTCTTTCTGGAAATCATGAGAGGAGTCAGACCTTCATTGACCACAATACAAAGCTGGCCCTGAAAAACACCCTGGTGTCTGTGGCCTCCGGTAGGTTCAAGGGAAGGCCCGTATCCCTCTGGAAGCTCCTCTTCTCAGAATACCTGACGGGAGAGCAGAGGAGAACTCTTACTCAGCTATTTTCCTCCGGGTCCCTTTCTGCTCAGCAACTGGCTGACAAAATCCGTCTCACGGTGGAGCAAACAGTTGTCGATTCCCGAGTCACCTTTGAAGGCCTGAGGGAAAAGGTGACACCTGCCCAGCTCCTGAGCTCTGAAATCATCAACAGAGACTTATTTGAGAAGTTAACGCAGGGAGAGACCCTGGTCAAAGAGGTGATTAACATGGCCACTGTGAAGAAGTACTTGGAAGGGACTGGCAGCATTGGTGGGCTGCTCCTGCCCGACTCCCAGGAGAGACTGAGCATCTATGAAGCCAAGAGGAAGGGCTTCCTCCGCCCGGGAACGGCACTCATCCTTCTGGAGGCTCAGGCAGCCACAGGACACATCATTGACCCTGTGGCCAATGAGAGATATTCTGTGGACGAGGCCTTGCGTGGCAACATCATAGGTCCAGATGTGTATAGCAAGTTGCTGGCGGCTGAGAAAGCAGTGACTGGCTATAAGGATCCTTATACTGGGAACAAGATCTCCCTTTTCCAGGCAATGAAAAAAGACCTCATCGTCACAGAACATGCCATTCGTCTTCTGGAGGCCCAGATTGCCACCGGAGGCATCATCGATCCTGTCAACAGCCACCGCCTCCCTGTGGAAGTGGCCTACAAACGGGGCTATTTTGAGAAGAAAATGAGCCTGATCCTGTCAGATCCCAGTGATGACACCAAAGGCTTCTTTGATCCAAACACGCATGAGAACCTAACTTACCTGCAGTTAAAGGAGAAGTGCATTGTGGAGCCCACCACAGGCCTCTGCCTCCTGCCACTCAACAGCAAAAAGCACCAACCCCTGGATGATGCCACCAAGCAGGCTTTCAGGAGCTCCTCGCTCTTTGTCAAACACGGGCGCTTCCAAGGACAAAGAGTCTCCTTGTGGGATCTGCTGAACTCGGAGTATTTCAGTGAGGGAAAGAGAAAGGAAGTCTTCAACCACTTCAGCCTCCAGAAGGTCACCCTGCAGCAGATTTCCCTGTCTTTGGAAGAGGAAATGAAGAAATGGGCTTGCATTCAGTTCCCAGCAATCAGAGGGAAAGTCAGCGCTTACCACCTACTGGAAAGAGGAATCATTGACCGGGCTCTCTTGGAGGAGATCCTAGGTGGAGTGGTGAGCCCAGAGGACGTGCTGCACATGGCTACAGTCCAAAGGTACCTCTATGGCACGGGAAGCATAGGGGGAATTCTGCTGCAGCCTTCCAATGAGAGACTGAGCTTCTATGAAGCTATGAGAAGGAACATGGTGGTGCCCGGAGTTGCCCTGCCCTTGCTGGAGGCCCAAGCAGCTACTGGATTCCTTGTGGATCCTGTGAGCAGCCAAAGACTCTCTCTGGATGATGCGGTGAAGAAAGGCCTGGTTGGCCCTGAGCTTTATGAGGTCTTGCAGCAGGCTGAAGAAGCTGTCACGGGCTACAGGGACCCCTTCACCGGCAAGATAATCTCCGTCTTCCAAGCAATGAAGAAAGGCCTTTTGGCAGACAGGAAAGCCATGCAGCTGATGGATGCCCAGCTGGCTACTGGGGGGGTCATTGATCCACACAGCGGCCACTATGTCCCCATAGAATTTGCCCAGAAAAATGGCTACCTGGATGAGGAGTTTGGGAAAACCCTTTCCAACCCGAGCAGTAACTCCAAGGCTTTCAGCACGCTGGACAGGAAAGAGAGGGTCAGCTACGGCCAGTTGATGGACCAGTGTCAGAAGGAGGCACATTCGGGCATTCGCCTCTTGCCTCTAGCACAAAGAGTGTCTGTTCGCTCTACTGAAGAGCAGACACAGCAGTGCTTTAAGGAGACCTTAGTTGAGGACAAGGGGGTCTCTCTCTGGGACCTCCTGAGTTCCGGTTACTTCACTGAGGAGCAGAAGTCAGACTTTTTGGAGAAGTATAGCTCCGGAGCAGTTTCCCTTCACCAGCTGGTCAGCCTTGTCCAGCAGCTTATTAATGACATAGAAATGAAAGCTAAGATGCAGGTCACTTTCCAAGGCCTGAGAGGTGTGGTGCCAGCGGTCTGGCTCCTGGATGCGGGCATCATTTCAGAAAAGACGTTTGCTGAGCTGGCCCAGGGCAAGAGATCTCCCAGAGAAGTGTCCGAGATGGAAAGTGTCAAGCTGTACTTGCAGGGCACAGGGAGCATTGCTGGAGTTTTCGTTCAGTCCTCCAAAGAAAAAATGGGCATTTACCAAGCTATGCAGGAAAGGCTCCTCCTGCCAGGGATGGCGGCACAACTGCTCAGCGCCCAGGCAGCCACCGGCTCCATTGTGGACCCGGTGTCTAATCGGCAGTTTACTATTGAGGATGCCATCAAAAGTGGCATTGTGGGAGAAGAGCTGATGGAAGAGCTGCTGCAAGCTGAGAGGGCAGTGACCGGCTTCCTTGACCCCTACTTGGGGAAACCAATCTCGGTATGCCAGGCTGTTAGGAAGGAGCTACTCCCTGCCAGGGTGGGCATCCCCATGCTTGAGGCTCAGCTGGCCACTGGAGGAATCATTGACCCTGTTCATTGCCACCATCTGCCCCTCGGAGTGGCCTTCAAGCATGGCTTGATTGATGAAGAAATGCAGAGGGTTCTTTCTCAGGACAGCAAGGAGATCCAGGTTTTCTTTGACCCAAATACCCAGGAGAGCCTGACCTATCAGCAGCTGAAGGACAGGTGCATCCAGGATCCTGAGTCAGGGCTCTGGCTTCTCCCACTGTCCGAAGAGGCGGCTTTTTATGGAGACCAGCAAGCCATGGAAGTGCTAAACTCTTTCTCCGTCTCAGTCAGCACTGGGAGGTTTAAAGGACAAGAGGTTTCTCTCTGGGACTTGCTCCACTCGGAGTATATCCCGGACGCCAAGCGGAGGGAGCTGGTGCTGAGATACAAAGATGCACATGAGGAGCTCCTTCAAGAAATGGCATCGTCCATCAAGAATATCATCGAAGAGACAGAACAGCAAGGCAAGAGGTTCACTTTTGAAGGCCTAAGGAAGAAGGTGTCAGCCAGCGACCTCTTCCAGTCCCAGCTCATAGACATGACAACCCTGGATGAACTCAGGCAGGGGAAGACAACTGTCCAGGAAGTCAGTGAGATGGATTCTGTCAAGCACTTCCTGGAGGGGTGCAACTTCATTGCAGGGGTCCTCATAGAACCAGATCATGAAAAAATTAGCCTCTACCAAGCCATGAGGCGAGGTCTGCTGAGACCAGGGGCAGCTCTGGTCTTGCTGGAGGCCCAGGCAGCCACAGGGTACCTCATTGACCCAGTGAAAAACAAGAAGCTCTCTGTGGACAAAGCAATGGCAGCAGGGCTGATTGGAAAAGAAATTTATGAGAAGCTGCTGAGTGCAGAAAAAGCCGTCACTGGATACACAGACCCTTACACCAAAGGGCAAATCTCTCTCTTCGAGGCCATGAATCAGGAGCTGATTGTGAGGAGCCATGGCATCCGCCTGCTGGAGGCACAGATTGCTACGGGGGGCATCATCGACCCTGTGCACAGCCACCGCATCCCTGTGGAGGTTGCATATAAGCGAGGCTACTTTGATGAAGACCTAAACCGCATCCTTCTGGACTCCACAGATGATACCAAAGGCTTTTTTGACCCCAATACTCACGAGAACCTCACTTATCTTCAGCTTCTGGAACGCTGCATCCAAGATACAGAAACTGGGCTGTACATGCTGCAGATTGTCAGAAGCGGGGAAACCTACTTCTACATTGATGATGCAACAAAAGATTTTCTGAGAACGCAGACTATGCAGGTACAGGTAGGTCGGTATAAAGGCCAAGCAGTCTCTCTGTGGAGCCTCCTCTGCTCCGCATATATCCACGAACAGAAGAGGAAAGATCTGGTCAGGCAGTATAAGGATGAGACGCTCAGTTTGCCACAGCTCTGCAAAACCATCACCACCATTGTGGAGGAAACAGAAAGGGCAACCCAGAAGCTCAAGATGAAGGGGCTGAGGGGGCAAGAGGTGTCTGCTGCAGAGCTCTTCAATGCAGAAATCATTGACAGGGTGACTTTGGACAGACTGCACCAGAAGACCCTTCCTCTGCAACAGCTTGCCCAGAGGGACACCGTGAAGCGCTACCTGGAGGGGACAGGCTGCATTGCAGGTATCTTGGTAGCTGGACAGGGGCTGAAGCTGCTTGCCTATGAGGCCATGAAGAGAGGCTTTCTCTCCCCAGAACATACTCTGCTATTACTAGAGGCGCAGGCTGCCACAGGGCTCCTCACTGACCTTCTGGAGAAGAAGCCCTTCTCAGTTGACCAGGCCATCTCTCTTGGACTGGCTGGGGAAGAGTTTCACAAGGCGCTCCTCCTTGCTGAGAAAGCCATTACTGGGCACACTGACCTCTCCACAGGAGACAAAGTCTCCCTTTTCCAAGCCATGAAAAGAAACCTGGTAGAGAAAGCCTATGCCCTCCGGCTGCTGGAGGCGCAGATGGCCACGGGTGGCATCATTGACCCCATACACAGTCACCGCCTCCCCGTGGAGGTGGCTTGCAGACGGGGCTATTTGGATGAAGAAACTTGCCTCCTCCTTTCTGTTGAGGGGCTTGTTCCCAAAGGATTTGTAGATCCCAACACCCAGGAAAGGGTTACCTACACTCAGCTCCTGCTCAGGTGCACCAAAGATGAAAAGACAGGGGCATACCTGCTGCCGTTATTAGAGAAGAGGGAGTGTATCTTTCTGGATGAAAAAACTAAGCATGTTCTCTCATCTTGCAAAATAAAAGTAGGCTTTGGGAAATACAGAGGACATGCCATTTCCCTTTGGGAACTTCTTTCTTCAGATTACATTACAAGAGAAAAGCAGAAAGAGATGATTAAAAAATATAAAGAGGGAGGCTTTGCAGTTCTGCAGAGTATCACAAAGCAAATACTGAAGTTAATAGAGGAAAGAGAACACCAAAGAAAAGATATATGGTTCCAAGGACTACGGCGGCAAGTCACAGCTTCTGAACTACAAAAGGCAGATATCATTAATGAAGAAACTTTGAACAATTTGGAAGCAGGAAAAGAGAGAGCGCAGGATGTAGCCCAGATGGATTCAGTGAAGAGGTACCTGGAAGGCAATAGCTGCATCGCTGGAGTGCTGGTGCCATCCAGGACAGACCCTTCCAAGTCAGAAAAGATGACTATCTACCAGGCCATGAGGAAAGGCATTCTGAGGCCAGGCACGGCCCTGGTGTTGCTGGAGGCACAGGCTGCCACGGGCTTTGTCATTAACCCATTGAGCAACGAAAGACTCTCTGTAAGTCAGGCAGTTGAAGCTGGTGTGGTAGGGGAAGAAATACAGAAAAAGCTACTTTGTGCAGAGAAAGCTGTAACAGGTTACATGAATCCCAACACAGGAAAAACTATTCCCCTCTTCCAAGCAATGAAAAAAGAATTAATCTTAAAAGAGCATGGGATCCGCCTGCTGGAAGCCCAGATTGCCACGGGGGGTATCATCGATCCTGTGCACAGTCACCGCCTCCCCGTGGAAGTAGCTTACAAGCGGGGCTACTTTGATGAGGAAATGAACCGGACCCTCTCTGATCCCACAGACGACACCAAGGGCTTCTTTGACCCAAACACACACGAAAACCTCACTTACCTGCAGCTTCTGCAGCGGTGCCTGCCCGATCCAGAGACTGGTTTGCTGCTGCTCCACGTCATGGACAAGGGCTGCTTCTCCTCTTACCTCAATGAGGACACCAGGAAGGCTTTGCAGGCGGCCAAGACCAAGATCGGCGTGGGGCTGTTCCAGGACCAAGAGGTTTCTGTGTGGGACCTCCTCTTCTCCAGATACATCCTTCCGTCCAAGAGGCAGGACTTGCTGAGGCAGCACAAGGCAGGCACCATGACACTTGAGCGCCTTACCCAAGTCCTCATCGCCATCGTCACCGAAACAGAGGAAAAGAGCGCCAGGCCCATCGGTCACAAAGAAGCTTGCCACCAACCAGCCACGACAACAGATGCTGCCGCGGATCAATCAAGCCTTGGAGAGCCCTGGATGAAGACCCTTGAGTCTACGTCCGTGGATATGCCTGCAGGCATCTGCCATGGGCAGAGGGTCACTCTGTGGGACCTGCTCTTCTCAAACAACATCTCTGAGGAGAAGAGGACAGAGTTACTGGACTTGTACAAAAGTGGGCTGCTGTCAACGGAACGACTCAGCAGCATCCTCCACACCCTGGTTGCCAAAAAGGAAGCCACTGGCAGGAAGCTGGATGTGAAGGTGAGGTGTCCAGATCAAGAGGCGGCGGCAGATCGCCAGGCTCTGAGGGATTCCTCCTTAGACCCGGCAAACTGGGAAAGCGCCCTGCGCTCTCAGCTCCTCCCAGCGCCTTCCGCTGACCAACAGTTCTCCGCTTGGGACATTCTGTTCTCCGAGCACTTCGCAGAGCACGAACGGGAAGAGCTTCTGAGCAGATACAGGAGGGGCAGCCTCCCCCTTAAGGAGCTCACAAAGATTCTCACCGACCACCTTCCCGGGGCCACAAGCAGCGAACGTCATCTTCCCACAGACTTCCACACACCCAGATCAAGTGCCGAGGCCGAAGAGACCAAAGAAGAGTGGGACGAGGATGCTGCCGACCTGGGGAAAGAGGAGGCTCTGAAGTCCCGGATGGTGGAGGTCACCGCTGCGGCGTTTCACGGGCGTAACGTGTCGGTGTGGGAGGTGCTTCATTCCAAGTACATCCCTGAGGAGAAAAGGAAGGAGCTTCTACAACTGTACCAATCGGGCATCCTAACCATTGACCAGATGGAGACTGTGGTCTCCGCCATTGTCAATAAGACAGAGGAAATGAAAAAGGAAGAACCGTCCCACGCTCCCTTGTCTTCTGGCTCCTGGGAGGGTCCCTTGCGTAACCAGACCATGACCCTGCAAGTTGGCGAGTTCCAAGGACAGAGGATCTCCATCTGGGAACTCCTCTTCTCCCAAAGCATTCCAGAAAGCCAAAGAGAGGAGCTGCTGATGAAATACCAATTGGGATCCTTGACCATTCAGGAAATGATCACCACCCTGACCTCGCTTCACGCCAAGGACAGGGCTTCTTCCCCAGGAGAGGAAGCCACTCTTCCCTCCCAGCACAATGAACTGGAACGCACCTTGCGACAGGTGACCATAGACGTGCCTGTGGGTGAGTTTCAAGGCTCCAGGAGATCCGCGTGGGAGCTCCTCTTCTCCAAGTACGTGACTGCGGCCAAGCGCCAGGAGCTGCTGCAGAAGTACCAAGAGGGGTCTGTAACCCCAGGCGAGCTGGTCCAAATTCTCACCACCCTGATTGAAGAGATGGAAGAGAAGGGAAACCAGCTGAAGTTCTCGGGGCTCAGGAAGCAGGTGTCGGCCTCAGAACTGTTTGACTCACGCATCATCAACCAAACCACGCTCTCCGAGCTCGCGCAAGGCACCAAGACGGTGGAAGAGGTCACAGAAATGGATTCAGTGAAGAGGTATCTGGAAGGCAACAGCTGCATCGCTGGAGTGCTGGTGCCGTCCAAGACAGACCCTTCCAAGTCAGAGAAGATGACCATCTACCAGGCCATGTGGAAAGGCATTCTGAGGCCAGGCACGGCCCTGGTGTTGCTGGAGGCACAGGCCGCCACGGGCTTCGTCACCGACCCCCTGGGGAATAAGAAACTTTCCGTCGATGACGCTGTCTCCGTTGAACTGGTGGGGGCCGAGCTGCGGGAGAAGCTTCTCTCTGCAGAGAGGGCTGTGACTGGCTATAAGGACCCCTATACGGGGAACAAGCTCTCCCTCTTCCAGGCCATGAAGAAAGGTCTCATAGTCAAAGAGCACGGGATCCGCCTGCTGGAAGCCCAGATTGCCACGGGGGGCATCATCGATCCTGTGCACAGTCACCGCCTCCCCGTGGAAGTAGCTTACAAGCGGGGCTACTTTGATGAGGAAATGAACCGGACCCTCTCTGATCCCACAGACGACACCAAGGGCTTCTTTGACCCAAACACACACGAAAACCTCACTTACCTGCAGCTTCTGCAGCGGTGCCTGCCCGATCCAGAGACTGGTTTGCTGCTGCTCCACGTCATGGACAAGGGCTGCTTCTCCTCTTACCTCAATGAGGACACCAGGAAGGCTTTGCAGGCGGCCAAGACCAAGATCGGCGTGGGGCTGTTCCAGGACCAAGAGGTTTCTGTGTGGGACCTCCTCTTCTCCAGATACATCCTTCCGTCCAAGAGGCAGGACTTGCTGAGGCAGCACAAGGCAGGCACCATGACACTTGAGCGCCTCACCCAAGTCCTCATCGCCATCGTCACCGAAACAGAGGAAAAGAGCGCCAGGCCCATCGGTCACAAAGAAGCTTGCCACCAACCAGCCACGACAACAGATGCTGCCGCGGATCAATCAAGCCTTGGAGAGCCCTGGATGAAGACCCTTGAGTCTACGTCCGTGGATATGCCTGCAGGCATCTGCCATGGGCAGAGGGTCACTCTGTGGGACCTGCTCTTCTCAAACAACATCTCTGAGGAGAAGAGGACAGAGTTACTGGACTTGTACAAAAGTGGGCTGCTGTCAACGGAACGGCTCAGCAGCATCCTCCACACCCTGGTTGCCAAAAAGGAAGCCACTGGCAGGAAGCTGGATGTGAAGGTGAGGTGTCCAGATCAAGAGGCGGCGGCAGATCGCCAGGCTCTGAGGGATTCCTCCTTAGACCCGGCAAACTGGGAAAGCGCCCTGCGCTCTCAGCTCCTCCCAGCGCCTTCCGCTGACCAACAGTTCTCCGCTTGGGACATTCTGTTCTCCGAGCACTTCGCAGAGCACGAACGGGAAGAGCTTCTGAGCAGATACAGGAGGGGCAGCCTCCCCCTTAAGGAGCTCACAAAGATTCTCACCGACCACCTTCCGGGGCCACAAGCAGCGAACGTCATCTTCCCACAGACTTCCACACACCCAGATCAAGTGCCGAGGCCGAAGAGACCAAAGAAGAGTGGGACGAGGATGCTGCCGACCTGGGGAAAGAGGAGGCTCTGAAGTCCCGGATGGTGGAGGTCACCGCTGCGGCGTTTCACGGGCGTAACGTGTCGGTGTGGGAGGTGCTTCATTCCAAGTACATCCCTGAGGAGAAAAGGAAGGAGCTTCTACAACTGTACCAATCGGGCATCCTAACCATTGACCAGATGGAGACCGTGGTCTCCGCCATTGTCAATAAGACAGAGGAAATGAAAAAGGAAGAACCGTCCCACGCTCCCTTGTCTTCTGGCTCCTGGGAGGGTCCCTTGCGTAACCAGACCATGACCCTGCAAGTTGGCGAGTTCCAAGGACAGAGGATCTCCATCTGGGAACTCCTCTTCTCCCAAAGCATTCCAGAAAGCCAAAGAGAGGAGCTGCTGATGAAATACCAATTGGGATCCTTGACCATTCAGGAAATGATCACCACCCTGACCTCGCTTCACGCCAAGGACAGGGCTTCTTCCCCAGGAGAGGAAGCCACTCTTCCCTCCCAGCACAATGAACTGGAACGCACCTTGCGACAGGTGACCATAGACGTGCCTGTGGGTGAGTTTCAAGGCTCCAGGAGATCCGCGTGGGAGCTCCTCTTCTCCAAGTACGTGACTGCGGCCAAGCGCCAGGAGCTGCTGCAGAAGTACCAACAGGGGTCTGTGACCCCAGGCGAGCTGGTCCAAATTCTCACCACCCTGATTGAAGAGATGGAAGAGAAGGGAAACCAGCTGAAGTTCTCGGGGCTCAGGAAGCAGGTGTCGGCCTCAGAAACTGTTTGACTCACGCATCATCAACCAAACCACGCTCTCCGAGCTCGCGCAAGGCACCAAGACGGTGGAAGAGGTCACAGAAATGGATTCAGTGAAGAGGTATCTGGAAGGCAACAGCTGCATCGCTGGAGTGCTGGTGCCGTCCAAGACAGACCCTTCCAAGTCAGAGAAGATGACCATCTACCAGGCCATGTGGAAAGGCATTCTGAGGCCAGGCACGGCCCTGGTGTTGCTGGAGGCACAGGCCGCCACGGGCTTCGTCACCGACCCCCTGGGGAATAAGAAACTCTCCGTCGATGACGCTGTCTCCGTTGAACTGGTGGGGGCCGAGCTGCGGGAGAAGCTTCTCTCTGCAGAGAGGGCTGTGACTGGCTATAAGGACCCCTATACGGGGAACAAGCTCTCCCTCTTCCAGGCCATGAAGAAAGGTCTCATAGTCAAAGAGCACGGGATCCGCCTGCTGGAAGCCCAGATTGCCACGGGGGGCATCATCGATCCTGTGCACAGTCACCGCCTCCCCGTGGAAGTAGCTTACAAGCGGGGCTACTTTGATGAGGAAATGAACCGGACCCTCTCTGATCCCACAGACGACACCAAGGGCTTCTTTGACCCAAACACACACGAAAACCTCACTTACCTGCAGCTTCTGCAGCGGTGCCTGCCCGATCCAGAGACTGGTTTGCTGCTGCTCCACGTCATGGACAAGGGCTGCTTCTCCTCTTACCTCAATGAGGACACCAGGAAGGCTTTGCAGGCGGCCAAGACCAAGATCGGCGTGGGGCTGTTCCAGGACCAAGAGGTTTCTGTGTGGGACCTCCTCTTCTCCAGATACATCCTTCCGTCCAAGAGGCAGGACTTGCTGAGGCAGCACAAGGCAGGCACCATGACACTTGAGCGCCTCACCCAAGTCCTCATCGCCATCGTCACCGAAACAGAGGAAAAGAGCGCCAGGCCCATCGGTCACAAAGAAGCTTGCCACCAACCAGCCACGACAACAGATGCTGCCGCGGATCAATCAAGCCTTGGAGAGCCCTGGATGAAGACCCTTGAGTCTACGTCCGTGGATATGCCTGCAGGCATCTGCCATGGGCAGAGGGTCATTCTGTGGGACCTGCTCTTCTCAAACAACATCTCTGAGGAGAAGAGGACAGAGTTACTGGACTTGTACAAAAGTGGGCTGCTGTCAACGGAACGGCTCAGCAGCATCCTCCACACCCTGGTTGCCAAAAAGGAAGCCACTGGCAGGAAGCTGGATGTGAAGGTGAGGTGTCCAGATCAAGAGGGCGGCGGCAGATCGCCAGGCTCTGAGGGATTCCTCCTTAGACCCGGCAAACTGGGAAAGCGCCCTGCGCTCTCAGCTCCTCCCAGCGCCTTCCGCTGACCAACAGTTCTCCGCTTGGGACATTCTGTTCTCCGAGCACTTCGCAGAGCACGAACGGGAAGAGCTTCTGAGCAGATACAGGAGGGGCAGCCTCCCCCTTAAGGAGCTCACAAAGATTCTCACCGACCACCTTCCCGGGGCCACAAGCAGCGAACGTCATCTTCCCACAGACTTCCACACACCCAGATCAAGTGCCGAGGCCGAAGAGACCAAAGAAGAGTGGGACGAGGATGCTGCCGACCTGGGGAAAGAGGAGGCTCTGAAGTCCCGGATGGTGGAGGTCACCGCTGCGGCGTTTCACGGGCGTAACGTGTCGGTGTGGGAGGTGCTTCATTCCAAGTACATCCCTGAGGAGAAAAGGAAGGAGCTTCTACAACTGTACCAATCGGGCATCCTAACCATTGACCAGATGGAGACCGTGGTCTCCGCCATTGTCAATAAGACAGAGGAAATGAAATCAGGAAATCAACATCCTTCACAGTATGACCTTTTCCAGTACACATTGGAATTGGAGAATATCAGTGATATTGTCCGTAGTATCCAGGACCAAAAAATGTCTGTTTGGGATCCTTTCTTTTTCAGGTGTGTCTCTAAGATCAATGAGGAAATGAGTCTCTTCGAATCTCGAGGTGTGACAGGTAGTGTCCCAGGAGCTGCCCAGGTCATGTCTACTCCAGTTACAGAAACGGGATCCTCAAGTGATTGGTCTTCTGTCTTCTGTGAGTCTTCACAGGGATACATTTCCTTTCCCAAAGCCTCTGAGGAGTCTTTGGCAGAAAGCCCATTTCACTCACAGAGTGCTTTAAAGTCTCGATTGTTAAATTTCCCTGTTGCTGAGTTCCATGGAAAAGAAGCTTCATTGTGGGATCTGCTGCATTCTCAGTACATTTCCGAGGAGAAAAGGAAGGAGTTGCTGCAGCTCTATCAGTTGGGTGATCTCACCCTTGATCAGATGGAGTCAGCTGTGACCGACATCATCCACCCAGGCGAGGGGGGGGAAGAGAGGCCGAGCGGAGGCCGGTCAGCAAGTGGCAACCCTGATTCCATGGCAGCAGATGAGGGTGCATCCCAGGCTCGGCAGCTGCAATTGAAGACAACTTTGAGGACCACTCTGGTCCCCGTGACTGTGGGAGAATATAAGGGGCAATGCATGTGTGTTCTGGATCTCCTCTTCTCTAAATACGTCCCCCAGGATAAAAGGCAGGAGCTCCTTGAATTGTACAGGGCGGGGACTTTACTCATCGAGGACATGATAAGCACAATCACTGGCCTGCTGGAAGAGGCAGAAAGCCAGCGGGAGACGCGAGAGACCAAGAAAAGGGCTGTGCGCCGGAAAGAGAAGCAGGACCAAGGGGGTGACCTGTAACAATGAGGGCATCTCGCTGGAGCTGATTCTTTTCTCTTCCATCAACCCAGGTGCCTCCGGCCACTCCCACCAAGCGCAGTCTCTCTGGCTGCCATCCCTTTGGCCTCTCCCTCCTCTGCTGCTACATCTGGCTGGGGTGGACAGTGGGATTTCTCCCCGGAGTTGCCAGGAAATGCTCTCCAGCCCTTTCATTGTGTGCGCACACACACACACCGTTAGTTCCTGGGAGCCCCACTCTGATTTTGGCTTTCTAGAACCCAGATATCTGTGAAAGCATAGGAGAACGAATCAGTTCCTGTAGGAGGCCAAATGATGGCTCCCTGCTCTGAACTGCTTACAGGGCTGGGGAGCCACTTGGACAGCCCCACAGATGGGAGGGTTCAAGTTGGATCATATCCTCCAGTAGAGGCCTGGGGAGGGGGGGCCTTAACTGGGTACGATTCCAATTCTGCTGCAACTTGCTAGCTACATGAATCTCAGTTAGTGGACTGGTCTGTTTCTACTGGCAATAAAAAGAAAGAAAATGTGTTAAAATTGCTTTGACTGCATTGGAATGTGTTCCAGATCCAGGCTGCTTCTCTAAACTGGCTAAAGAGGGGCAAGTAGAGGTATGGGGATATTTTTTATCTTGTTGATGCAGTTCAGTAGTAGTAGCATTCACATGAATGCAATACTTAACAACAGCAGTTTCAGCAGTCCTGGTTGCCAATGTTAACCTTATAAGTCATCAAGTGTGGACTTCACATTTTTAACAGTAACAGAGTCGGAAGGGACCTTGGAGGTCATCTAGTCCAACCCCCTGCTCATGAAGGAGACCTGTACTAGGGATTCAAACCGCTGAACTGCCGACCTTTCCGATCAACAAGCTCAGTGTCTTAGCCACTGAGCCACCTAGTCAGGCACATGACCATGACTTCCGACTTCCTGCCATTTCTCCACTGACTTTGCTTGTGGGAAGCCAGCTGAGAATGTCGGAAATCAGAATCTGGTGACTGCATGTTGCTGTGACATTGTAATCTCGTGCCAAGTGCCCAGATGGCAATCACAGGTACGACCACAGGTACGGCTGGAGCTTCAAGGACTGGCTGTAAGTACTACTTATTCAGCATTCATAAGTTTGGACAGTCACTGTACAAGTGACAATCCTCAACTTACAACAGTTCGTTTAGTGATCGTTCAGTTACAACAACACTGAAAAATGTGTTAGGACCATTTTTCCCAAGACTTTTGTAGCATCCCCGTGATCTGGTGATCAAAATTCAAATGCTTGGCAACTGGCTCATATTTATGACCTTTGCATGTGATCCCCTTTTGTGACCTCCTGACAAGCAAAGTCAATGGGGAAGCCAGATTCATTTAATAGCCAGGATACTAACTAATCAACTGCAGTGATTCACTTAACAACCATGGCAAGGAAGATCGTAAAATGGGGCAAAACTCACTTAACAAATTTTGGGCTCAATTGTGGTCGTAAGTGGAGGACTGCCTGTATAAACTCATTGATTAAGTTTTCTCTTCACTCAAATAATCCCACGTCATTCGAATGACATTTGAGCTACTTGAGAAGAGACTCCATACGGGTATCAAGCACTCAAGTAACTCGAATTAAGCAAAGGGCAATTGATCCAAACAGGCCAGGCCACATTGTTCATCTCAAAGGGCCAGCTAGATAAGCCTGGCTTCCACTGCCCACTGCACTCCAGCTGCTAAACTCTACATTAATTTTCAACCAATGAGCTAAAGATCTTTTCTTTCACCCTTTTAACTCATAAAGAAAATTATATGAAGCAAGCATCATTAACAACAAGAGAAGCTATGAAAGAACATTAAGAGGAGAGTATATTAAGCAGATGAAAATAGTTTTAAAAATACATCAAACAAGCCAACATCTTAGTAGGATGAAAATCATTACTTAGCAGAACTGCAGTTGTCTGAATGGTTAACAGAGGGGTCCCAATTTTTAGTTGCACTTTTCAGGAAATCAGAAACAGCTGAGATTTCTAAAAGTTTGAAAAATGGAAAATTACACAGTCCAGATGTATTCTCTGAAGATTTCTATAAAGATTTTTAGACATCTTAATTTCAGAAGTTTGATTAATATCTAAATGTCTATGGAGATTCTCAGTCATTCAGGTCATAGTTGCCCCCAAAGTGCTTTTTCAAGAGGCAACTGGACTTTCTGCTTGAAATGACCAGCTGCCTGTAAGGAATATAAATCCTTCCATTCCTCACCATCCAATCAGAGTTGAAGAAGCTTCTTGGATGAGAAGCGAAACGTGTTCACAGAAAAACCAGAAAGTCCAGTTGCCTTTTGAAAAAGCACCTTTGGGATGATTACTATGTAGTTGACTGCAACAGGGAGAGGGATCTGGCAACTTTGAGATTCCCAAACCAGACAAGAATTTCCCTAAAAGCTGCTTCAAATAGGCCTATTTCATCACTTCATGTATTGTATTCAACAGCCTTAGATACTAAACAATTAGCTAACCATCTTAAATTAAGTCTCAATAAATGTATATTTCTAGATCAGTCCAGATTCATTCCAAAAAGAAATGAGAAAACCATTGAGTACAGTATTATTTTTATAATAAGCAATTTAGTGTGTTTTCTGCAAAAACTGTTATTCTCAGAAAAACAGATCAGATAATATAAACTTGCAAGAGCACATAATAAGAACAAATAATTATGTTTCTTCAGAATTTCTGCTTTTATGAGATACTAAATAGAGATGCCTCTGATATTCTCCTTTGGTTTACTCATAGAAGCGTTGGGTATATTGTGATAGACAAATAGTCACCTTCACAGGGGAGAAGAGCTCTGTATTAGTTACTGAATTCATTTGCAGATACTGTCCTTATGTTGTCAAATCCAATACATTGGCCAAGTAAATCAGCATATTAAATTTATTTGCAGAAGGTACAATACTTACTCTTTAAATGCTGCACGTTCAACTGAGTATATTAAAAAATCTTTAAAAGTCCCAATAGTAGCAGGGCTATTAATTAATCACTTACAAATAATTAAACCAGGCTGGGAGGAAACAGAGGCGGGACCTCCCACAATCCCCTAATTGACCCTGCTTGCATCCAGGGAAACTGAAGCCTGGGAAGCCATGACTACCTTCGCCCATCCGGGGTGGCAGAGGCAGAGCCTCCCCTGGGCCCTGTATCAAAGATGGCAGCTCCCACCAGGCTGCTCTCTTAGTTCCCCCCCCTCTGCTCAGCTCAGCCTTCCAGGGAGAGTGGGGGCCTGCTGGGCCCCCGTCAGCCCCTCTGAGCTTTGGTATTGCCCTGGAGAATAAGAGAGTTGGAAGGGACAGTGGAGGTCTTCTAGTCCCCCCCCCCTGCTCAGGCAGGAAACACGAGACCATTCCAGACAGATGATCTCTTCTTAAACGAGGAGGGTACTCCTCGTGGGAAGCAGGGAAAAGGGGGTGACCTCTGGCGATGACCAGAAGGCCAGAGCATAAATCTCAGAAGGGGTTCTGGGATGCAAGCACTTTGTACATGCTCAGGAATGCCCTCCTCTACATAACAGAAGCTGATAAGGGCATCCGAGGAGCTTCGGGGGGCAACCTGAGGAAGGTCAGTCCGCAGGGAAGAGCCCAGCTCTAAGGTGAGCTAGCCCAGACTGCCCTGCCTCGTGGTCTCCCTGTGAAGCTGAACACTAGATCCCGTCATTCACAGATCGCACCCAGCAGAGAGTCACGGAAGCCGGAGAGCGTCGGACACGACCAGCAGGCGGCAGCCGAAGCACAGCGCCGCCTCCACGGGAACAAGGACCAAGCCGGGTTGCGCTGGGGCTGCTGACTCGCGGCTGGGGAACGACCCAACGCCACGTTCGGCCGGAGGTGGAGGGCCTGGGGCGGGTCGCCTCCGCTCCGCTTGCCCGCGGCTGGGCCCGCTCCCGCCCCAGCTCCCCTCCATCCGGGCCGGAGCTCGGCGCCCTCCGCTCGGCCAGTTCCACAACAAAGGAAGCCGAGGTGTGAAGGATGGTGGGAGAAAGTGATCGGGTTAAGATGGCCCGTGGGACCCTCCGCAGCAGCCCCCGCCCGCCCAGAAACAGCTGGCGGCCGCAGGGAGGGCGCTTTCCGCAGGGCCCCGCGAGGCTCCGGGCCACGCTACATTTCAGGAGGGAGCGGCCCGCCAAGCGGTTGCAGAAGGGGCCGCCTGATCAGTTCCAATGAGGAGGACGCGATGCTTGCTGGTCGAGTAGCTCCAGCTGTGCCCTGAAGACCGGGGGCCGCCTCCCGCTCCTCGCCGCCTCGCCAGTGTGGCTGCAGACAAGACGCTCGGCTGCCCCTGTGCGCGGTGGGATTGAAAAAGCCCAAAGGGGGCCCGGGTAATTCTAGGCAGCCCCGAGGGAGGGGGGAAAGCCGGCGGCTCTCTGGGTATTGCTCCTTCTAGGTGGTTTTATTGGCGTTCTTTAGCCTGGGGGGGGGTTCATAAAGCTCTTGATTTTCCATGCTGTGCTTCAACTACTGCGCTGCCGGCCGGCCTGCCAGGAGGGTGCAAGGATGAGTTTAAGAAATAAATGCACTGGACAGCCAGTGTGGCCAGCTCTTAGCCCAGCCAGGCAGGGAACCAGGGGCCTCATCCCACTGAGGTCACCTCAGCGCCTTTCTCTTCTCTCGGCCACTTTCTAGATCTGGGGTTTCTCAAGACCTGGGGGTCTTGAGCATGTATATTGCCCAGAACAGGTTAGCTGGGGGGGGGACTGAGGTGGAGAGAGTGGACAGTATCAGCATCCAGGGGGTGAGATAGGGTGGGAGTCTGAGTCAGACCCTCCCGGGGAAAGTAGAGTGGACTTGATTTGGCCTTCCTCCCAACCAGGTAACACCGGCAGTGCTAGAAGGGAGTGGGTGTTGTGACCCAGGCCCAAGTAAGTAGTAGGAAAATCAGTCAGTGAAAAAACAAACTTTATTTGAACAGCTGAGAATTATTCCCAGCGTCGTTCAACTAAATTAAAGCAAATTCCTCCCAACACAAATTTCTCAGTCCTATCGTAAACCTTAGTCCAATTAGGCAAACTGCCAAAGGCCTTTCTTGGCAAATGTTCAGAAGTCACAGCTACAAAAATAAATACAAGACGTAGATGAAGACGAAGACGAAGCTACCATCGTTGTTTTCCAGCAAAGCCCAAAGCTGTTGTTGGTCTGTTTTAAGCCTTATGGGAGGGGCCAATCATCTCTTGGCCCTACTCCCGAGTTGCCCTCTTTGCTTGAGCTGCTCTTGCCTTCTGGCAGCTCTTCTCATGCGTGCATTAGGAACAGGCTGCTCCTGTTCCTCCGCCTCACTCCTATCAGTCTCTGGAGGCTCTGGAATCCATACCTCACTCCCCGACGGCCCTGGCCCCATCTCTGCCTCCGACGCAGAGCCCTCATCCGGGCCTTCCCCAGCCTCCAGGACTGGCCCATGTTCTTCCTCAGCCTCATCGCTCTCCGACTCCGCTGCCAGCTCCGCAGGCTGCTAGTGGACCACAACAGTGGGGTTTGCCCTCTATTTATATTCCAGTGGCCTGCCCCTGCCTTGGCC